TTCTGCTGCGTGTAGTGGAACGAGATAAAAATTGAGTTGAAACAACCATTTATCTCTGTATCCTGACGACATAATCGAGCACAGAAGGGCCGAAGAGCCTTCGCGAAAAAAGCTTAAGAAGAAATTAATCTAAATTGAATAAAAACATTTTTTTCTAGACTATCAGAAGATCTTAAATGAGAACTTGAGCTAAACTAAGTCGCTTAAGGTCATTTGAGTAGTATTTTGTTGCAATCTCCATCAATAATAGAATTTTGTTCTAAACTCATAAGATTTTCTCATCTAATTCACCCAAGTTCTTATTAACTAGTCTTCAGCAAATATTTCGTATGTTTGTCCCATTGACTCCCCACCAAAAGTGTTATGTAGGAAAACTGGGTTTCGAAGAAGCGTTTCACACCCATTATACGCTGGCAAGTCGCCACAATGTGCATAGCCCGAAGAGGCAAGGACAAACCTGTAGTTCCATCCAGCCAGGATGAGAAGAGTATCCTGAAGCAATGACATCTTAAGTTTCACATAAATAGTTTGAAAAAATTCAGCCATCAATCCTTAACTCAAAGGAAGCGACTTTTCTCAAGAAATATTAATTTCTTTTAAACTATGGTTTTGAGACTACCAGTATTATTGAAATAGGAACTGAGCTAACTCTGTTTCGTTGAAAGTGATGAAGGACTGGTAGTTGAACTTTACCACAATCGGTTAAGTAGGCCTCACGTTTCCAGTGGATTTCGCTTCGACGTGATTCATGAAAGTTGTCTCATCCCAGCTGGACTGGACCGCACAGCATGTTCGACTTCGCATGAGCTCGTCTCGTCAGCACCCCCAGCAGGATTGGACCCAAGTGGTACAGCATATACTAGATTATCATTTCAAACGAATTAGGGTGAATTGAGCTCTTTTATAAATGCTTTGTCATTGAAGACGAAGGTGACTTCTTTCATTTCGCACATTTTCTGCCACTTGCCTAAGCCCCTTAGCTTCATCCTATTCAAATCGGGCTGTATTCATTTGCTAGAACAACCGCAAAAA